TGAGACACTGCTTCTACTGCCTCTTCTCAAGGGAGCAAGATCAGCTGAGTCAGCGACAAGCATCCTGTCCCCAGCAGAGATCAGTCAGGTTTGCAACAAACACTGTCATCAGCAGAGAGACCCCGACCGTCTGCTTTGTTGACTCATTTCAGGGTGAACATTGAAACTGACCACGTGTTCTTACTTCTGAAATATTCCAGGTGGTGATTTTGCCAGCTTAGTGGCTATGACAGTCCCTTCCTCTTCCGGAAAGCAGGCAGTCTTGTTAGAAATAATGTATGGTTTTCCATAGGACACACTATGGCTAATTTAATGCTAAATATATACTCTATCATCATTTTGAGTCTTCTTCACAGCACAGACAGGTTTCCTTAGCGTGGGACTCAATGGTTTACTTTTCCTCACTTCACCTGTAAGCAATCCTGGTACCAAATCGTTAGTGAGCAAATATGAGTTGGTTAAATGAAAACAAAAACGAATCGAGTGTCTTCCCAGTTCTAAATCCCATGATAAAGGAGGAAGCTGGCTTTCTTCCTGTTTGGCATTTGTTTCCCATCTTCTTGTATACTGAGGGGTGGAAAGTGCTGGTGGAGTATCAGGCACCCAGCAATGGGCCTGCACATTCCATCCTGCTGGCCCCAGCACCCAGAAGCTCCACGGGATGGGTGCCGGCAGCATGGATTCCAGTTAGCTTGGAGACAGGATTGCTCCATTTCACAGTCTACTGGAAGGTGTCTTTGTCCCAGGAGTTTGCAGTGTTTCTCTGGTTTGAGGCAATGGGTGGCATATATATTTGTATGCAGATTTTGCTTTTAATTGAAAAAAAAAAAAAGATTGTATACATAGCACAAATAGTTTGATTACTTTTCATTGTTAAACTTAAACCCACCTACATTAAGAAGCAACATAGAAATAGATACGAACCCTGCTGTGGACCAGCTGCTTAGCTTAGGCAAGCATTTGATCCCTGCTGAGCTTAGCAAGTGGACGCCAGTAGAAATGAGAAATTAGGGATATGAAGATTCCAGAGAGAAAGGGAAGTGGGGGTACCAACCTCCTGCCTTTGAACGCCTTCCTTACCACACAAATGCTTCTGTTGTCCTTCAACTTGATTTCCTCTCTTGTCATCACACACCCTGTGGTTCCCTCACGCCTGGTCCCCTCCCTCTCTGAGCAAGCATCTGCCCTGAGATGTGTTCTGCTAGCCATGTCTGCTAGTGAGAAAGAGGAGCAGAGACCTGTCCATTCAGGCCTGGGTGTGTGACTGCAGAGAGACCGGGGGTTCCAGGCAACCACAGATGGAGGGGGATAAAGGGACAGGAAGTCTCTGGGAAGTGGTATCCCTGCTCTCCTGATTATCAGCCTGTGCTTAGAGGTCGGGATATTCATGCACCTGAGACTGATGATCACAAACCAGAGACCAAAATCTGGGCTGTTTTGTGAAAAGCGAGGCAATCTTTTAAAACCCTAAGTTCGATGTTTAAGCCGCTGCCTATCCCCCCAATGTGGGCCTGTGGGCTGTATGTGCTTGGTGCACATTATGAGTCTACTTTACCATTCACTTTCCCCCCCATAATCACAAAGAGACCTATGAATTTGGAATGTTATCATTTGACAGTGGTAAAATATTAACCCTTATGTAAAAATGGCATAAGGCCAGATGGCAGTGTTAGGAAAATTCTATTTTTATATATTTAATGGATACATGAACAAACATCACCATGTATCCTTCCGACTTTTTTCCACTAGAGGCAGCTTTGATACACAATTTATAAGTAAAATAAATTTCTGTTGTGTAATTAGTATTTTCTCCTTACCAAAGGTAGGTAGGTGTATCTTTTTTTAAGTATAGGGAGTCTGCATGCTGGAAAAAAACAAAAAGGGAAATGTATGCCTTTGTTTCCTGCTCTTATAGGTGGCTGATTACACATTTAATTTCGTGCCAACTCATCGGAATAGATGGATTTGGGACAGCTATTCCATGGTCCATCCTATGGATACACTTATCAAAGCTTTTACATCTTTTGTGCCTTTTTGTTCTGAGGATATAATTGTAAAGAAATTCTCAGCTTTATGCTTTTTATGTTTTATCTTGGCACTCAGCTCACAAAAGCCTCGCTGGTTCCTTTTGAAACTTAGAGGGAAATGATACCCGTATGATTTAAAGTTTAAGTTTAATTACCTTTTGCAAATTGCTTTTGGAAGTATAGGCAGTTCAAAAGTCAAAATTGTTTTGCATTTCAGACATGGAAGCTAGCAAAATAGCTTTTTTAAGATATAGAGAAGATTTTATTCAAAATAGATTCCAACCTGTGTGGGAAAATGAGAATTCCTGGGCAAGCTATTTTGCATGCTCTTTTCTTTATTGTCATGGAAGTAATATAGTCCCAACCCCAGCCCTGTTCTTTCTGAGACTCTATGGAGGTAGTGACTTTTATTAGAAACTCGCCGGTTTCGTTACACTTTCTGAACGGCAGTGCCGTTTTTCTTAGGATAAAATTGTGAGTGGTTTTTGTGAAGTCATTTGAGCAATTAAAGGTAACGATGTGAAAAGAAAAAAGTATAGGGCCAGGACTTACGTACCCAGGGCCATGTGGTCTTGGCTCCTTAGGATGGTAGCTGGTGACGAGGCGTGAGTTATTGGAGATGCAGACTTCCTTTGAGACAGATGCTGCCCAAAACGTCCCACCTGGTAGTGGCAGCCATCTATTAATATTGGAAGTACGGAGGCCTTCGGCCCACGTGGCTCCAGGTCGGATGCACAGTAAACCAACCCTAAAACTTCAGTAGCCCCTTTCGCCACAACCTAGGCCTCCCACCAACTGCAACGGTGAAACCATTTCTATCTGAATTATTGAGGATCTTGTCGGGAAGGGAATGGGACTCTGAAGAGCCCCAAATTCCTGCTGACAGTCCAGAACCTACCCATTCAACACAGTCTTGCTCTTCAGCGGTTCACACTTGGCTGTCTCTGGTTTGAGTGTCTTTGGCTTCCAGAAATAGCCCTGCCATCTCAGGGAGTCCCAGCGGTCAGGATGTAGTTTACAAGTTGTAGTGTGCACACCCATCACCTGGGGTGCAGCCTGAAACGGAAATTCCTAGGCATCTGGCCCAGAGAACTGACCTGGGGTCGGCGTCTCACCAGGTAGTCCAGGCGATTCTGAGGCAAGTGATTTGGCAGCAAGGCTTTGGAAAACATGGGTGGTGGAGGCAGGTATGTAAGCAGTCACACAGGATCACACATGTTCATTCTTACACACACACACACACACACACACACACACACACACACACGGTTCTGTCCCCTCAAAAGTCTCAATAATGTTTAGACCAGGAGTCCTGAGCTTCCATTGTGTCTTGGGGCTGCAAATTATGTCACCAGTTCTGTATAGAAGATGTTATTGTGTGCTATTGAGATTGCACTTTCTGAACACACCCGTACTGTTCCATCATGATTGTAAACTCAAAGGAAGTGCATGAGTACCATTCTCAGAGGCTCAAGCCCAGACTCACTGACATCGAGTCGGTTTCTACTCATAGTGATGCTCTTTAGGGTTTTGGGGGCTGTATATTTTTATGAGAACAAACAACCTTATCTTTCTCCCACAGAACAACTGGTGGATATTGTTGGGGTAAGGGGTCCCCAACACTCGGATGATTCCTCAGGAGTGACTTTGAAATAATGGAAAATATTAAAGACAGCAGGGCACAGGTGCTCCTCATCCATGTCAGCACTGAGAGAGAGAGAATGTATTTTCCAATGGGTCTATATAATGGGGCTTACAGAGTTTTCATAAGGCATGCACATTGTACAGCTAACATATTACATAGTTAATAGGTAATATATCATAAGCGAGTAACATAATAAACAAGCAATGAGGTGAGTCAGCGTCTTAACCTACTGCTAGTTGACCTGAAACCCCACCCTGAGTCCTTCCCAGAGGGCTGGTACATTTATGGTGGTTTGGCTATAGAACACGATTGCTTTAAATCTACTGTGTTAGTCTGGGTAGACTTGAGAAATAAAACCAGGGAGACTAATGCATATAAGAAAGAGTTTTATATACAAGAACACTTGAATATTGAGAAAACATCCCAGCCCAGATCAAGTCCAAAAGTCCGATATTAGTTCATATGTCCGATACCAATCTATAAAGTCCTCTTAAGATTCACAAAACACATGCAATGACGCTGAATGGAGGAAGATCACAGACCAGTGGGTGGGAAGTCTTGTGGATCTAGTGGTATTGTAAGCATCTCAGCATTGGCAGGGTCTCCACGCGGCTCCTCCGCCTCCAGAGGTCGACTCCATCAGCCTCTCTCCATGTGTCTTCTCCAGGGATGTCTCGCAGGGAGTGAGCAGAGAGAGAAAGTCTCCTGCCTCCAAGGAGGAATACAGGAATTCCCAGAATCCTCAGGAGAAGGCCATGCCCACACAGAGGCCTCATTAGCTATATCCTAATTGACAGGCTAGGCTCCACCCCTACACTCTTAATCTTCAAACTGACACCAGATTATGTAACTGCCACATCCACAGATAACCTTTAGGCATTGTGAAGTAGCTAGAGGCAGAAATGATTCATCTTATATGGTAGCTCCTTTATGAGAGTTCCTTTTGGGAGGGTGGGGTTATTGGAGGGACTGTGTCCAGTCCTGAGAATATATGTTAAGATTTATTTATATCTCATAACTGCGTGAGAGTCTTTCCCCACCAGACTCGACTTTCCAGACCCGTCTTTATGAGCATGGATGATTGAGCTGCATTACGTTCTAATCCAGTCCCTCAGTTTGCCATCGGGTTTGAACCCCCAACCTGGTGGTTAGCAGTCCAACCCGTACCCAACTGTGAGGCTTCTTCCTCATGGGACACAGAACAGGAAGTCCTAACAGTTGGATGGGAGGGGGGGGGTTGGTTGGTTTCTCTGTTTTCAGGGAAATGCAAATTTTATTATTTGTAACATAGAAATGTTTATGTTGTTCTAATTCTCATCCCCCGCCAGGATGGCTCGAAGCAGAAAAGAGAGCGGAAGAAGACGGTCTCGTTCAGCAGCATGCCCACAGAGAAGAAGATCAGCAGTGCCAGTGACTGTATCAATTCCATGGTGGAGGGTTCCGAACTCAAAAAGGTTCGGTCCAACTCTCGAATTTACCACCGCTATTTCTTACTGGATGCCGACATGCAGAGTCTGAGGTGGGAGCCATCCAAGAAGGATTCCGAGAAAGCCAAGATTGACATTAAGTCCATCAAGGAAGTGCGAACAGGGAAAAATACCGACATCTTCCGCAGCAACGGCATTTCGGACCAGATATCGGAGGATTGTGCATTTTCGGTCATCTACGGGGAGAATTACGAGTCACTGGATTTGGTCGCCAATTCTGCCGATGTTGCCAACATCTGGGTTACTGGACTTCGGTACCTAATCTCCTATGGAAAACATACACTTGATATGTTAGAAAGTAGCCAAGACAACATGAGGACTTCTTGGGTGTCGCAGATGTTTAGCGAGATTGATCTAGATAACCTGGGGCACGTCACGCTGTGTAACGCTGTGCAGTGTATCAGAACACTCAATCCTGGTTTGAAAATGAGCAAAATTGAGCTAAAGTTCAAAGAACTACACAAGTCCAAGGACAAGGCTGGTACGGAAGTCATAAAGGAAGAGTTTATTGAAGTTTTCCACGAGCTTTGTACTAGACCTGAAATTTATTTCCTTTTAGTTCAGTTTTCCAGCAATAAAGAATTCCTCGATACCAAGGACCTTATGATGTTTCTTGAGGCAGAACAGGGGTTGGCACACATAAACGAGGAAATAAGCCTTGAAATCATCCACAAATACGAGCCATCCAAAGAGGGCCAGGGCCAGGGCTGGCTCTCCATAGACGGGTTCACAAATTACCTTATGTCACCGGACTGTTACATATTTGATCCGGAACAGAAGAAGGTATGTCAGGATATGAAGCAGCCTTTGTCTCATTACTTTATAAACTCATCTCACAACACATACTTAATAGAGGATCAGTTCCGGGGTCCCTCCGATATCACAGGATACATCCGAGCTCTTAAAATGGGTTGCCGGAGTGTTGAATTAGATGTCTGGGACGGGCCGGATAACGAGCCTGTTATTTACACGGGCCACACCATGACCTCCCAGATTGTCTTCCGCAGCGTCATTGACATCATCAACAAGTATGCATTCTCTGCTTCAGAGTATCCTCTGATTCTGTGCTTAGAAAACCACTGTTCTGTTAAACAGCAGAAGGTAATGGTTCAACACATGAGGAAAATCTTAGGAGACCAGCTGTATACCACATCGCCTAATGTGGAGGACTCTTACCTGCCATCCCCAGACGTCCTCAAAAGGAAAATCCTGATTAAGGCAAAGAAGCTGTCCTCCAATTGCTCTGGAGTCGAAGGAGATGTCACCGACGAAGACGAAGGAGCGGAGATGTCCCAGAGAATGGGGAAAGAGAGCTTGGAGCAGCCACCCAACCATGTGCCTGGGAGGCGGTTTCAGCTTTGCAAAGAGCTCTCCGAGCTGGTCAGCATCTGTAAGTCAGTTCAGTTCAAAGACTTCCAGGTGTCCTTTCAGGCTCAGAAGTACTGGGAAGTCTGTTCCTTTAATGAAGTGCTTGCCAGCAAATACGCCAACGAGAACCCAGGGGACTTTGTAAATTACAACAAGCGTTTCCTGGCTCGGGTGTTTCCCAGCCCAATGAGAATTGACTCTAGCAACATGAACCCTCAAGATTTTTGGAAATGTGGTTGTCAGATCGTAGCCATGAACTTTCAGACGCCAGGGCTGATGATGGACCTGAACATCGGCTGGTTTAGGCAGAACGGGAACTGTGGCTACGTCCTCCGGCCAGCCATCATGAGGGAGGAAGTCTCCTTCTTCAGCGCCAACACCAAGGACTCCGTGCCCGGAGTCTCGCCTCAGCTTCTCCACATTAAAATCATCAGCGGGCAGAACTTTCCCAAGCCCAAGGGATCAGGTGCCAAAGGTGACGTGGTGGATCCTTACGTCTATGTTGAGATCCACGGCATCCCCGCCGACTGTGCCGAGCAAAAGACCAAAACGGTGCACCAGAACGGAGACACTCCCATCTTCGACGAGAGCTTTGAGTTTCAGATCAACCTCCCTGAACTGGCCATGGTACGCTTTGTAGTGCTAGACGATGATTACATCGGGGATGAATTTATCGGTCAGTACACCATCCCCTTCGAATGTTTACAGACGGGCTACCGCCACGTGCCCCTGCAGTCGCTGACAGGGGAGGTCCTCGCCCACGCGTCCTTGTTTGTGCACGTGGCCATCACCAACCGGAGAGGAGGAGGGAAACCTCACAAGAGGGGCCTGTCGGTGAGGAAAGGGAAGAAATCCAGGGAATATGCTTCCCTGAGGACACTGTGGATTAAAACCATAGACGAGGTGTTCAAGACCGCCCAGCCCCCCATCCGGGATGCCACGGATCTGCGGGAGAATATGCAGGTAAGGTCGTGAAGCTGCCTTCCTCCCTCCCTCCACGGTGTCCCTGCTGAGCTCGGGGCAGCACTTCCTGACTCTTCCAGAGTTCCTTTTTAAACAGGCACGTATTTGATTGCAATTCAGTTGTCTTTTCATGGGCTACTAGAATGTTTAGCACTGGCCTCATGTTTTATCATTTAATTTTCCAAAACAACAGTTGATTTAGAAAAATATTGATCCCGTGTTAGAATAAGCCGGATTGGTGCCCGTACATTGGCATCCTACTCTGGGTCTGCTTAGCAGTGCCCTGCTTTCTCTGTCCGTGTTCATGGCTTCTCTGGTAGTCCAGAAGGTTCCACAGTCAAACACTCACTCTGGCGGGGTCTCCTACCAACATAAAAGGAAGATGTTCCAGGCCTTTCTTGGGGAATCATAAAAAGCACAGTCCATACATGTTGCCTTTGGGTCAGTTCTGATTCGTAGCGAATGAAACTCCCTCTGAAGATGTACTGTCTAAAAGCAGCCAGTAAAGGATTGGGATTATCATCTTTCTGGAAGCAGACTGCCACATCTTCTTTCCTCAGAGTGCTCGGTCTTTTGGTTAGCCCCTCAGCATTTTAACCACTGCACCACCAGGGCTATCAGAAACAAAAAAGACCTCGTGCCCTCAAGTCATTCCCAGCACATAGCAGCCCCCTAGGACAGGTTAGAACTGCCCCGGTGGGTTTCCAAGACTGTAACTCTTTACTAGAGTAGAAAGCCTCATCTTTCTCTCTCAGAGAAGATGGTGGTTTTCAACTGCTGACCTTGCAGATAATAGCCCACTGTGTATGTATTGCACCACCAAGGCTTGCCTTTATGGAAAGGCTGCAGTCAGAAAGCTCCTAGAAGTGAGAGGATGGTGAGACTTCATCTCATACTTGGGACGTGCTATCAGGAGCTGCTCTTGAACTGCTGCTGACCGTGTAGTTAGCAGCCCAAAGCGCAGCTACTTCACCACCAGGACTGCAGTGCTGGGAAAACTCTAGACCTCTAAACCAGCTAATGGGTTTGCAGAGTGGGCCTCCTCTTGGCTTGAAAGCGCAGACAACTGCTTAATTGTTTAAATAAAATACGTGGATCTCTGTGTCTATATTTATTAGTAGTCTGAGAGATCATAATTGCCTCTGATGCTATAATGGCTGAAAGCAATCAGCAAAGAATTATGTATTTAATCAAGCACCTGTCGGTACCCTAGGCCCCACGAGTGATGCTGAAGTAATGAGCGCAGGCCCTGCTCCCAGCGACCTAGGCCCTCGCTTGGCCTGGTGTGTGAGGAGTGTTTATAACACCGAGCGTTTATAAGGCATGGTTTATTTCTTCTCAGAGTGCTTATTATGTGAAGCATGCCACCTCTCTCAAGTAAAACCTTAACCCAGAAAATTCAAAGTATTTTACCAATCATCCAATTCTGTGGATGGATGAATAGAAAGGCCTTCCCATCTTACCGGTATTTATGTTCCCAGAATTTATATTCCCAATATTTCCCACGGAGAAGTTTTATTTTCTTCCCCTCCAAGGAAACACACTGCAGAATCATGAAAGACCTTTCTTGTTTACCTGAACGTGGCTTGGGAAGCCCTTGGCTGTGAGTGAACCCAGGGTTCCCGGCCCCTTGGCTGCTCTGGGCATGCCAGTTCCCCCCAGGGCCTAGCGAAGCATGGACATCGCATGGTTACTTCCACAGCCGGGGTGTCTGGACCAAGTAGTCGGGGGCCATGTCTGAGAAGTCCTTCCAGGAGGACACAACGGCGTACACACAGCCCAGCTGGCGGTGGCCCTCAGGGAGCTTTCATTTGAGCGGGCATGGGCACTGGCCTGGGAGAGGGGACGGTGGCAGGTGCATAAACACACAGGACTGCTCCAGGTAGAGGTAGGTGATGTGAAGACAATCCAGCAGGAAGGCGTAGCAGTGTGATTGAGGGACCCCACGGTAGGGGTTACATTAATGATTTCTTTCTAGATGTAGTCAATGCCTAAGTGATTTTGAGCAAAATGATATCTGGTCTGACACCCGTGTATAAAGCAATACTAACAAATGAAATCTTTGGTTTTATGAAGTTTTTCATTTTTGAAACAAAAGTACTGCTTAGACCCAAGAACCAAGGTGTTCGACGGAAGGCACAAGGACCATGGAGTGGGGGGTGATGCCTGGAGTAGCAGCCCTGGTTTCCTGTGCCAATGAGGCTTCACCTTCAGTGCAGCTGCAGCCTAGGGAGAACGGGCGTGGGCCTCCACCTCAACAAAATTCGGGTAGAACCTTGACTCTTGCACTGCCTCCTGTGTGACGTTTTAGGCACAGAACAGAGAGTACACCAAAGACTCTGTATTCACGTCCATAACACGGCTTGTTGGGAGCAACAAACGAGCCTCTTGCACAAGGCTCAAAGAACGCTGGCCATGGCTGCGCCCATCTGTGGAGGGCTTTCTTTGGTAGCTATTTTAATGGTCTGTATCTGATGAATTCAAAAGAGAACGAAGCAGCAGCCTCTAGATCAGTGAAGACACGACTGGAGGAAGGCTGTGAGTAACCGGATGCCCCGCTGGGCACAGGCAGCTGACAAACAGCACTGTCCTCAAAGTCCTTTGGAACCCATGGGCATCAGCAGGCTCCAGGGAGTCGAGTTCCGGTCTCACAGACATCCCCCCCCCTGGTTAGGATGGCTGGCGTGTTTGATACATAATTTACATCTGATTCTATTTTGCTTTCTTAATCTTTCCCCCCCCCCCTTTTTTTTTTGGCTGTGGAAGCCATTCTTTTCATTTGCTCCATCGCCTATCAGTATTTGCACTAGTGTGAACTTTGATCTAAACAGAGGCTTTGCTCTTCAGAAGATTTTGACATGCTTGCATTTTCAGTCCTTTTGCTACATTGGTGTTACAAATGTGTATAACTGTGTCCGCTTTGGGAAATAACCACATGCCCTGCTGGTCTCTAGGACAAAATAAAATAACCATTAGCCAATTTTGTCATCACATTCCTAATAATTGTCCTACCTGGAGCTTCAAGTGCAGTCAAGTCCCCGATACGTGAGACATGCAAAGCCCTAGTTAGTTATAAAGCGCCTCCCTTCTTTCCACTTAACAGAACGCAGTGGCGTCCTTCAAGGAGCTGTGTGGCCTCTCCTCCGTGGCCAATCTCATGCAGTGCATGCTGGCAGTGGCCCCCCGCTTCCTGGGGCCTGACAACGCCCCCCTGGTGGTGCTGAACCTCAGCGAGCAATACCCCACAATGGAGCTTCAGGGAATCGTGCCCGAGGTGCTGAAGAAGATCGTAACGACCTATGATACGGTGAGTCCCTGTTCCTCCCTTCCCCGTGGCCTGGGTGCCAGGCTATCTAAGACAATACAGCGGACACAGGAGGGCTTGCTGATGGGGGACTTCCCACTTCAATTCCCCCTACTTGGCTGTATGTGAAAGAATCAAGCGTTTGTTCTCATGGGTTTAAAAAGCAGGGTTGAGAGGCGAGACAACAGCTCAAGACCTGTGGATATCTGAATGGTATTCTGAAAGATGGGACATTTCTACACAGACCTAGTAAAAAGTATTATTGGGTTTTTTTTTCCCCTCCTGTAACTAGCCATCTATTCACTCATTTTCATTTTGTTCCCAGTTTTCAAATGGTTAAATTAGGAAAAGAAAAAAAGGATTTTGAATGCCGAGTGGGGCAGGTGCTTCTCTCATGTGATTCTGGATACAGTGCGACGATTCCCTTCTAGGAGCAGCTGCTCCAGGACACCAGTGACCAGCTTAACCTTAGTGACATGTCCCGAGGACACGTGGAATATCACACTATTGCACTTAGGGTATTCCTTGCCTTTTGTTAACCACATCGTGCTCTTTACTGGACTCTGGTTTGCTATAACTCTGAAAGACCTCACAGGTTAGAGCTGAAGACAGGGGAAGTTGTCAGCTCACCTTTTGAGGAGGATCAGTGCTCATTGTGAGGAAGATGGGTCCCCCTTCTTGATGGACTGGGTGATCAGCCTCCAATCTTCCTGGTCCTTGGGCAGGAAGCCCTGATTTCCCAGCCTTCTCTGCCCTAAAATCCTAGCTGAGCTCACAAAACACTAGGCTCCACCTGCCAGGGTCTAGGGCAGTGGTTCTCAACCTGTGGGTTGTGGCCCCTCTGGGGGTTGAATGACCCTTTCACAGGGGTTGCCTGATTCATAACAGTAGCAAAATTACAGTTACGAAGTAGCAACGAAAATAATTTTAAGGTTTGAGGGCAGGGGGTGTCATCACAACATGAGGAACTGTATGAAAGGGTTGCTGCATTAGGAAGGTTGAGAACCACTGGTCTAAGGCAAAGCAAGGTTGGCATTTTTGAGGTTTTAGATGAATAGGATCAGGAAGCACAAGTTGAAAGAAGGCCCTATTTTTTAAAGCAGATTATCATTGTATTACCTTTAAAAAAATTCTGTTTAGGCAGTTTCATAAAAGCAGTTACTACTTCGCGGCCATCGAGTTGATCCCGCCTCATAGCCCCTCTATAGGACCCTGTCAGTTTCCAGCACTGTAACTCTTTATGGAAGCAGAAAGCCCAGTCTTTCTCCCAAGGAGCAGCTGGTGGTTTCCAACTGCTGACGTTGCGACTAGCAGCCCAACACGTAACCACCATGCTAGCAGGGCACTAGCAGAGTCTTAATCACTGCCTGCTTTGTCCAGCTGAGTTGACGAAAATGGAGAGAGATGCAGGGACTGAACTTCAGGAGACCCGTCTTGCAGCAAGGAGGAAGCCAGTGTCAAAGGTGCTTATAAACCTTGGGAGAAACCTTGTGCTGTAGGTAGAACGGAAATGACTCCTGTCGTCAAAGTCCCTCCCAGTGTGCTAGAATCCTGTGGTCATAGGAAGCTTGTAGATTGCTTTGTGAGGTAAATTGTGGTTGTTACTGAGTGCCACCAAGTTCAGCTAGCTTACACGCACCCGAAGGAAACACTCACAAGGTCATCCTCACAACTGTTTCTATGCCTGCGTCCAAGGTTGCAGCCACTGTGTTATTGCCGCCCCTCTACTTTATCCAGCACGATGTCCTTCTTGGGCACTGGTCTCTGCTGACAACACAGCCAAAGTATTTAAGGCAAAGTCTTCCTGTCCTTGCCTCTAAGGAGCACTCTGGCCATACTTCTTCCAAGACAGGATCAGTTTGTCCTTTTAGCAATCTGTGGTACTTTCAGTATTCCTCGCCAATACTATAATTCAGATGTGTCAATTCTTCTTCAGCCTTCCTTATTCATGTCCAACTTTCTCATGCTTATGAGGCAATTGAAAATACTGTGGCTTGGGCTAGACGCACTTAGTCCAGAAAATAACTTCCATGTGTTTCAATACTCCAAAGAGGATGTGTGCAGTAGATTTACCTAATGCAACCCCTCGGATGTCTTGACTGCTGCTTCCATGAGCATGGATTGCGGATTCTAGCAAGACAAAATCCTGGACAACGTCAAGCACTTTTCCATTCATCATGGTGCCGCCTATTGGTCCAATTGTGAGGACTTAGGTCTTCTTTACATTGAGTCATTATCAATACTGAAGGTGACAATGCGGAATCTTCACCAGCAAGTGCAGGGATGTTTGTTCATGGCAGCCTTTTCCACTGAGACTGCCTGAGCTTGGGGTTGGAGGGCGCCCCTGTAGGTGCTATTGTGGCAGAGGAGCGTAAGAATTCCTGGGCAGGACCTTGTTCAGGGCGCTCCAAATCAGGAGCGTGACCTTGGCTGAGTGCTCAGAGTCCACATTAGAAGTTTTTCTCAACAGCAGCAGCCTGACAGCTCCCACCCCGATATTTGACACAGAAAGGGCATGGTGCCTTTTGCTTTGGCACCCCTTCCTCTTCCTGGTGGATAATAACCACTTTATTGCCCAAATCTTATTTGCATAGGGTCACTATTACACGGCATCGACCGGATGGATGGCAGTGAGTTTGTTTGGGGTGTTTTGTTATAGAAGTAGTAAGACAGAATATATTGGCTTGTTTACATTTTTTTAGATTGCAAAATGGCTTTTATAATAATTACAATAGCTGTTCTGCGTTGTACTTCTGGCTTTGTAGATCTGTTTATAATCCCACCTGATAAAATAAATTGTCTAATACATTAAATTAAACTCAGATTATTGCTTCAGCAATACTATAACTCTCGCCTACTATAACTCTCGCCATGTCTCATCATTTTGTGTGTGTGTGTGACTTAGTGGTTTCTCACCCTGTACAGATTAATTTATTAAACTAGCCAAGCAAGTAGATTAAATATTGATAGGAAAAGTCTGAGAGGTCTTGGACAGCCTGTAGCTTTAAATATAGCTATTTATTTCTGTACTGGTATATTGAGCTTGACCCAAAATCAACCTGAGAAGTAGGATCTTGTTTCATTCTGCTCATTTGCCATTTGTCATCTGAAGGCTCCAAGTGTGAAGTCAGGGCAGTGGGAGAAAATGTGCTCTCCAGAAGACAGCAGGTCTGCCAGCCAGCTCTGCTGCAGCACCACACTTCCTGAAAATGCATGGCTGCGTCTGCGTGCCACAAGGCTCCGATCAGCCTTCAGCTTCTAAACTTTGATTAAAAAAACCCACTCCACATTCACTGCCATCTAGTAGATTCTGAGCCATAGTGATCCTACAGAACAGGGTAGAACTGCCCCTGTGGGTTTCCACGACTGTCACTCCTTACGGGGAGTAGAGAGCCTAGTCTTTCTCCCACCGAGCAGGTGGTGATTTTAAATTGATGACCTTTTGAGTAACCAATGTGCCAGCAAGGCTCCTATTAATAAAAGGGGATGTCAGAAATATGCCTGTTTCTGTATGCAAATGGAGGCTGATTGTGGGAACATGAACCATGCATAACAATTCCCCCCCCCCTTTAATTCTTAGACATGAATTGTGTTGTTGTCCCCCTGGTTATGGATGGTCCTACTGGGTCCTGTGATTACGAGCAACAAACAGAACGTCTTCAGAGTTGCTCAGATGATGATGTAGCCCTGTTTGTGGTGCCTCCTGGGGTCTGGGACTGGTAAGGTTTGAGCCCAGATCCTGTTCAGAAAGGCAGGTGTAAAAGTCAGTCAGGAGTGAAGGATAAAGAGAACAAGTAAGATACCTTCTTAGATTAGGGAGATGGGGTGGGGTGGGGGGTCAGGGGTAAAAATTCAGAGTGAGCCAGTATGGAGTGTGGGACTAGACAGTTGCTGGTCAACACCTGTCAAGACACATCACTCTGGCATCGAAGGTACCTTGTCATGCTCTCAGAGGCTTGAATGCAGCCTGGGCCGTTAGGTGAGGCCTTCTTGTCTCCAGGAGGCCAGTGCCCTTAATCCCTCTATCCTAATTATTAGGGATTCAGCTGATTCTCCTCAGTCAAGACTCCCCCAGTCGGCTTGCCTTCCCTGACTCCTTAACAGCAGTGACTCTTGAGACCGTGTTTTTATAACTGCAATACAGTGAATTGTTTTCCTGTGGCTCTTTTGCCCTTGGCTTTGTAAGGAAGACCTTTGACAAGATGGGTTGTCACAGTGGCTGAAGCCCTGGGCTCAAACATAGCAATGGTGAGGCAGGGTCAGGACAGGCAGGCTGCACATGGGTTGCTATGAGTGGAGCTGACTGGATGACATCTTACAATAACAACATTGTATTTCCTGTCAACAGATAAAGGATGGCTAGAGAGAGATGTGGCTGAGCTGTTTCCCACCACCCCATGTGTATTATATCGCTTGCATAAAGTATATTATATCCTCTACTTGAATCAGAGGGTTGTACTTTGTTACTTAAATAATTTATTCACTTTAGTTAAGATGCTGTGTAAAGTTCTTCTGAAGTGAAATATAGTAGCAAATCTAATTGGTTGATTTCAACAAGAGAAAAATATGTGACAGTGCCTATAATCAATTCCACACCCTTTATACACTCTTATCATGTGTAAGACACTGTTCATTCATTAGACAAAATAAAAACTATTACTGAGAACCAGAGCCCTGGTGGCATGAGGGATCAGCATTTGGTTACTAACTAAAAGTTTGGTGGTTCAAAGCTATCCATTGACTCTGCAGGAGGAAGACCTGGCAGCCTGCTCCTATAAAGATCATTGCCTAGGAGACTGTGTGATGTTATTTTATTGACATATAATTCATATGTCATGCAATTCAATAGCTCAATCACATTAGGAAGAATTGTACAGTCACCACCACGATAAGTTTTAAAACATTTTCTTCATTCTTATACTCATTGTTATTAGTCCCTGTCACCACCTCACCTGCCATAGTCTCCCTAAGAAACCATTAATCCAGTTAATGTCTCTATGGAA